AATAACCACTTTTTCTTACTACCTGCCCCCCCCCTCCCCCCCCCCCCAATTCCTCCACCCTTTATAAAAGATGGCACCCCCTCTGGATCTTTTCTAAATCAACTTTCACTTTTTCACTTTAATAGATTGCTGTTAACATACATATGCATCCTGTATGTACACTGGGCTTTTAGCCTTTCACTGATGGAACAAATAACTCTAAGATCGAGATTGATGGTTTATTTGCATGGGCTTTCTTCAGAATGATATATGGTTGATAAGGATGCCATATATGCATGTGTGCACACACCAGCGTGTTGGGACTGAAAGGCGACCACTTAATAAACAGTAGTGCTTTTTACAATGCATTATCTCCCAGTTAGTGCACTATGTAACAGGAGGCTATAGACAGCATATAGCAGTGAATGCTCACAGGTAATAATGGCAGTGGAATAACAGCTGGCAAGCAGGAATGAGGTCACCTGAGAAGTTAATTGTGAAGTGACTGAGAGACCAAACACACCTGAAGAGACAAGAAAATAGAGAGTGAGGACTGTACACTGTTGATGGAGCCTACCTCTAGGCCACTATAGTTCTGACTGCATGCACTGTACATGTATGTTTAATGACTGCCTGTTTAAGTTATTGATTCTTGCCTTGCAGTCCAGGTCTTATTGTCATATATCTCCTACGTGACACTGACAGTCCATGGGATGGTAGGTCCGTGGTTGCTGATATTATAGAGGATAAAGGTATATCACAGAGTACATGCAGATATCACAGAATCAGGGGGTACAGTTCAATCAACCATTTTTGAGGAAGCTATTGACCACTATGCACTGCACATGTCACCAGGAAAAGTCAGGAGATATAACGTGTCTTTTTATTTACAGATTCATCCAGCAATGAGGGATATTTTACTGAGCCAGGGATACTGACCAGCTGACCAGAGAAATGACTATGTTCAGGACTGCTGTGTTTAGGCTGTATCTCTTGGGCTCGGCCCTCATAGTGACCTGTGCCCAGTTTGGGTCTTCCTATTATTGTGACAAAACTTACCCATGTGATTGCAAGACACTGGAGCAATGTAAACCTATAGTGGCCAATAAGCACAGGAAAGAGGTATGGAAGAAATCACACCACTTGATATTGTAACAGAATGAGTATTAGCATAGATATGTAAGAGTATTAGCATAGGAACAAGTGCTATTTACACATGCTACTGACGGTGCATGTTTGCTTATGGGTGTGTAGGGTTTTATATTTTACACACTGCATGGCATAGACTTGTGCCTTTTTGACTTAAAATATATGCATCAATATTCAGCTGATGTGCCATTACAAAAAGCTGTTGCATGTGAAAAATGTTCCCAGTGTGAATATGCCTGATCACCATGGGTATCACTGGTGATGGAAACGGTATCACTATTCCTGGTATTATTTTTTTTTTTTGTTATAAAAGTTTACAGGAATTTCAACATAATATAGTCAGCATGCCTTTTCCATTTTGGAAGGTGTTTTGATAGGGTATGTAAACTATGACTTTTAGGGTGAATAGAAGACTAACAATGCATAATCAATAGAATAGACTTATTTCAAGACCACTATACAATATGGCCTATAACTTAGAATCCTGGACAGCTAGCTTTTGTCACTGTGTGATGTCATACTAGACTGGGGGTGGAGGGGATAGAAGTAGAGAAGTAGATCAGTAGTGGTAGAAGTGTGTAGTCTACCAGGCCCGTAGCCGGGTGGGGGGGGGGGGGGTTTGGGGGGTTGGGGGGTTCGAAAGAACTGCCCCTTTTGCTAGGAAAAGGTCCACTCTGGGTAAAATTTGATCTAGGTACATGAAGTTTTTATGGGAAAAGGCCCACTTTTTCAGAAAAAAACCCCCCCCCCCCCCCCCTTTTGAAATTGCTGGCTACGGGCCTGTCTACTCTTAAATAAAATGATGTTACAATTGGATTGGCTGCCCACCTCATACCATCCCACCCCCCCCTTTGCAACCCCCCCCCTTATCTGTGCACAATAAACATGGCGTGAACAGAATTAAAGCATTAAGGAATAAATTTTCTGTACCATTAAAATTCCATATACGTGATATACTCTTCATACTATGCATGAATGATCTTATATACTGAGCAGTGAACAGGTTATAGCTTGACTGTTCTTCACCCACCACCTGCCCCTTAGTGATGTAACAGTAGATGTCTTTTATATACCACTCCTCTGGGTGCAGCTCTTTTATCAGTATCTCACAAAGTACAAAAATTCCTCAGACCAATAATGACTGCTGAAGTTCATGTGAAGTACATTATAAGAAGTGTTTTGAAAGTAGTGGGTAAATGTTTTTTTTTTTTTTTTTTTTAATATCCTCTCTAACCTGAATAGGACGGGGTGACATTGATGACATCAGTGACAAACACAATTTATAGGTTTTTTTATATATGGTCGGGTAAAGCGCTGCTTTCATTTTTGCCAAACTCTCAAGAGATATTACAGTTTTGCTGTAACTAAATTGACCAAGAAATAAGTGTCACTGAATGATTTTGATCAATAAAGCACTTTAAAGAAACTGATTTAACAAAATGACTTCTTTGCTAAAAAGAAATGTTTAGAAAAGTCTGTTATTCCCGTGGCATATTTTTACCTCTAGTTATCAGTTAGTTTGCAGATGATATTGTCCACAGCCATGCCGTTCATTGCCACTTCTAATCACCCAGTGCCTTTCCTTTCCTGGGAGATATAATGATCATTTTATTTCAAATTACACAGTTAATAGCTGTAGAGTACCAGGTAAACCCCTTATTATCTAATTAGAAAGTGCCTACATGTGGTATTCATATTTTCACATCTTGTTCATGTCAGTTAACCAATTAATGTCGGAATAATATTCATAACTTTATGTGTGAAGAGGTCTACATGTATGTCGTTTTTGATGTCTTGTGGTATCAGTCTTTCATTCATATTCATGTAAACTATACTAGTACATCAGTAAAACTGCACTCCATTTGACCAATCATACTGTAGGGACCCCCATGTAGTGTTCTAAATGTGATTATCTGATAAAATTCTCATTAAAGACTGGACTGAGAGGGGCATACATACATGTATGTGTACATTTTTTTCTTTCTTTTAAGTTTAGTCAATTTCTGGCCTTTGCGATTCTTTGTTTTAGAACAAGGAAGAAATGGCTATGATGTTCAAATTTTGGTCTCTGTTTAGCCTGCTAAAATTGTTCACTAGGTGACTATGTAAAGTCTGGTTTGGTATATTGGTCTTAGAGTATTTTATCAATGGTTAACTCACAATAAATGTACATGTAGTTGACAGAGTACTAAGAGAAAAATCAATTGTCAACATAGGTAAAATTTGCTCTAGGATCTTGCTTAAAAGACAGATTAAAAAGGGGGATGAGGGACATTTATTTATGGATTCTTTAAGTTATTGGACTAAAAGTTCAGCAGTCTGCTAAGATTTTTGTCATTTTGTGAAATGGTGGCCTGAGGCTGATGTCACTGGGTGGAGACAAGTCTCACGTACTGCGTTATGATGTCATCCATCGTCATTTTCTTATATGAAAGATGTGCTCCCTTTAGTTTGCCACTGGGGACAAGGTTTTTACTGTCACTGTAGCAAAATGTATGGACTATAGGGGTGGTTCACTCAAGCACAAGCAAAATTAAAACATTAAAAAAAATGATATAAGAGGCTTTTTTTTTACAACTGTATAAAAATGATGATATACCAGTATAAATATAGTGTGTGTGTTCTTGATGTTGGTCATGTCATTTACCTGAGGCAGAATAGGAGAATGACATACAGCATATTCAAAACAGCTAGTGGACCAAAACAGCGGATCAAGTGACCCCCAAAAAAGATTGCATCTTAATTCTCGATTAGACACTAAATAGAATTCTTGTGGGGATTACTCAACAAGCATTCTAGCGGGTTGGCCATATTTGATTCGCAGATCCGTTAGTCTGCTGTTCCGAATGCATTCATAGCACATTTAATGTTCTACTTCAGCAAATATATGGCTGGCTGTGGTTGCTAGGGTGTTACCAGTGCAGACGATTTATTTGTCATCTAATTTTACCTCATTGATAACAGATGGCCATCTTACAAGCTTTGTCACACTCTTTTGTGTGGTTTTTGGTTGATAGCATTTCCATTATATTTTTAAAGGATTTCTCTTTTATTTAAAGGTATATATCTAAAAGAACAACTGAAAAAATCACAGTCATGCAGTTTTATGAAGTCAAGTATTGCAGTTTGTAACCTCAGTACTGTTTTTTTTTTATTTTTTATTTTTTTACTGTTTGAGAGTTGCTTTTTTGTCAGGTTCATAGACAGGGAGTGGTGTGTGGGGGGGGAGGGGTTGAAAGAAGAGCTCTTTGGAGTAGGCAGATGCACCTTCTCAATCTCACACATAAAAAACGCATATGCATAGTTTTATATAAAACAAAGAAAAGTTCTTAGATCTTGAAGTTAACTAAATGCATTTTGGTAAAAGCATGATTCATCAAAGACCAGGTAGCTTATAAGGTGAATCATTCGTTAAAATCCATTTGCCATAGTTTAGGAGCCCTAAGTACTGGCAGCTTTTTATCACATTGGTTTCCTGAAAAAGACGATATTGATACAAAATACTGATTATTTTCCATTAAGCTGTCCAAGGATGAACATATTGTCCATAGACTGGGTATTGATCAGTACATAAAGCTATGTATCAGTGGTAATGATAGACAAATGGTCTCCAGGTGTGTTTATCATGTGGCTCCTGTGCTTATATATAATTATGTCTCATTGTTATATAGATAATATAACAATGTTGCATTATTTTGTTATGCATTTTGGTACACGTAATGTAAACCATAATCTGTTTATGAATGTTTGTGATAAAATGATTGTATGTGGACATATATCCACCGGAGTCAATTGTCACTTTAGACTTTTCCATCTTAACGAATTTCTTTATCCTCTAATTCTTTCTATTAATATCTTCATATCCTCTATAGTTACATCATTTCAATATCGAAAAATTTTTTTCTTAATACGTTTTTTTCTTGTACAAACTCTTCAATATTTAAGGCAAAGTGACTGAAGGGAGGGAGAAATGTCTGTCTCTTTTGTTTTTTAATGGAGGAAAGTTCTGCTATAGTCTTTTACAACACCTTTTTGGTTTTGTTTTAATTTCAGGTGATTGTTTTAGCCAAGGACAAGGATGTGACTAGTAAAACTTACCTCCACTGGGACTGGAGAAATATTACAGTGGTATACACTGAGAACTTCCATGACCCGGAGCTGATGTGCCACGCCCACAAACAGGGAGCCAGATATGGACTGAGATGTGAGTTTTAACTGTTCATTTTTTTTTTTTTTTTTTTTTTTTGGGGGGGGGGTGAAGGGGAGGTTAGGGTTCTACGCATATACTTAAGTATAGTCTGCATGCTTTTAAGGAAATATGAAATTGATAGCCATTTGTTATTTTGATGGTTAGATGTCTATGAAAATGTCAAGTGGTTTGATTTTTGCTGTTCGGAAGCATCTGAAAACACATATCCAGCCTCATAGAAATATGTTAGCTTGAGCAGCACAGAATTGATTTACTAAAAAAAACAGAAAAGCAAATTTACAAAAGCAAATTTTCAAAGTGCACACTTATTTTCACTTAATATAAAGCCGTTAATCCACATCAGTCCTCCATAACACCTCCTTGCTTTTAAAAATCATTTAATTTCTTCACCTGTCTCGTCTCCTGGCTGTTTGAGATGATAACAGTCCCAGTAGACAAACAGTATGTGGGAAGACTATACATGGAGCCTGTCATGGCACAGAGATATACAAGTCAATTTTAGCCCCCATTGTTTACTGTGTACTCCTTTTTAGACAGTTTTGTCACAGAAACCGTGCTATGATTGCAGTTGGCAAAGGCAGGGTTTATGACTTTGGTGGAGATAGAGTGTTGTGACTTGATTGCAATTATAATGTAAAGAGATGAAATGACATCCACTTATCTAGTTTATATATATATATATATATATATATATATATATATATATATATATATATATATATATATATATATATATATATATATATATATATATATAATTAAGTCATACACAAGTTTCGGGTAAGCTACATATGTAGTAAGGGAGCATGCAGGTAGAAGGCAAACAACACCTAGCTGCATTGTGTATAATAAACCACCCCAAGGGTTAATGATGTAAGCCATATCCATTCCCACATGACATTTTGAACCAAGGTTTATGTAATATGAGTGATGTAACATTGCATCTTGACTACTGTCATTGTGCCTCAGGTTATTGTTGGTGTTCCCAGTGACCCATTTAAAGCTCAGTGTGTGAATGAGTACTGGGGGTACCTGCATGATCAGGGTAATATGATACTCTCCTGCCTAGAGACAATGTATCAACTTACACATACTTATATTTTACCCACATTCCTGTCCCCATACATTAATGAGAGACATTCTGCTTTTTTTTCAGATGTATTGAAAAACATCACAGCATTTTACGATACAGAGTTTAGGGAAAACTTCACGAAGGGGTTAATTTTTCAGTCTCACTGTACGAGGAATGATGCGATAAATCTGGACATTGACGTGCCTCTAGCACAAGACTCTAACGATAGCAGACTTCTAGTTTCTGTTTTGAGAGACATTAGGAACGGTTTTGATGATATGATAGGGAACTTTCCAGTTGTTGGGGATGGGAGTACCACAAAATGTCAGGTAGGACTATGTCTTCAGATTAATTTGATATGGATACAGCTAAATTGAAAATTATTCCAAATTATTGGTGCACTTTAATTTGATAATTATTTCATGGGTTTCATACATTTTAATTATAATCTATTACTAACACATATGTCTGTTTAAAAACACCACTTTGTGCATTGAATCCTCTAATTTGATCTCTTCTCTTACCATTTTGGGTGGTACATATAATACTGTACATGCTAAAAATTGAAACATATGATCGTGAATCATACACAACAAAGGTTTATATATATATATATATATATATATATATATATATCACATATATATATATCACATATTAATATATATATCACATATTAATATTAAGATATTTTCTTTCTACACTAGTTATCATTTAGTGTACCTTGGATGCCTTATTGTTTTGATGACATGTGCTTGCCAGAAGCTGAAATGGCTGATATAGTTGATCTGTTCATCATCAAATCTGACCACATTCATGGCGTACATGACTGGGGAGGAAACTGCACAGCGGGGGCACATGCACCATTTGCACAAATTTTGTATGGTAAGGACTTCAAACTTTCAAATTGTACTTACCTCTGAAGGAGAGTGCCAATTTCATTGTATGAATTCAAGGGATGATTTTTTTCTACATGTATATGTAAAAGTTTATCATTGAACATGCAACTAAATGTAAGCCAAGAGGGTTCTAATTCACTGGTACATGTATTTATTGTAACACGTTCAAGTATATGCTTTGGGAAGACCCTCTAACTATAATCACTTCTTTCTTTTTGCACAAATGCATTGTTGTTTGACGAGCAGAAGTATTCTTCTATAACAGTAATGACTGGTTGTTGCATGAACAGGTTCCGATGCAGTGGTAATGATAAATGTTCTTTGTAGTTGCTTTTTGAAGCAAAAGAGATGTTTTCATGGATCTAACGTAAGACGTCTGCCTGCCATACATTGCAGGTTACACCATGTACATGTCCGTTAATATGCCTGTCAACCAGATGGTCCTGTCAGTGCCTTGGTACGGATACAAGTACAGGTGTACATACTTTGATCCCAAGGTAAAGCTGGCTAATAAAGGCATTGTAAATATTGTTAAACTTTGGCTGTATTCAGAACAGTGGACTAACTAGTCCGAGGATCAAATATGGCCGACCCACTTACTTCTTTATAGGAAATCTATTTAGTGTCTATTAGGAGATTAGATGGCGAACTTTTCAGTGAGTAGCCATATTTGACCCACGGGCTAGTTAGTCCACTGTTCTGAAAGCAGCCTTGAATTATCTTATTCCTGCTGGTGGTACAAAACTTGATGGCGGCATTGCACCTTTGACCCTCTAGTAACAGTTTTATCTCAAGGATATTAATTAATTAATTAATTAATTAATTAATTAATTAATTAATTAATTAATTGATTGATTGATTGATTGATTGATTTTTTTTATGTACGTCACTTTTTTTCAGACCAACAGATGTATTGTTTCTCCAAAACCATTCCATGGTGTTAACTGCAGCTATGCCACTGGCGAGAGGCTGTCACTGGCCAAAATACTAGCAATCAAAGTCCAGTATAACGCCTCCAGACTGTGGCATTCTGGGTACAGAACACCTTATTTTAATTACAAGGTAAGTGACCAATTCTTTTGGCTATTTAGTAAGTCTTGAAAGTGTACAACTGGTATTAGGTTCCATGACTTGATTGACAGGTAAAATACCTATTAATAATGAAGATATTAAGGGGTTCATTTCATTTGGGAGATAAATTGTTTTTCAGGTATTATTCCATTGTAAAAAACACTTTTTTAAATTATTCTTAGAAATTTGCTGTTGATAACCCTGTGTAATCCTGTGTTATTTTCTCATCAGAATACCACTGATGGTTATATGTATCAAGTTTGGTATGAAGATGAACAAAGTACCTGGACAAAATATGCATACTCTAAAGAAGCTAATTTTAAAGGTAAGTAAGGTGCTGTTACTGTTTCATTGCATGACAGACAGATTGTGTTAGGTGAGATTGAGCTGTGCAGCACTCATTGTGTTGTCAACCATGGCTGTCATTCATTTTTTGTTTCAACAAGACAATGATAGTTACGATGGTTAAATATGCAGTTCATTATACATTTATGTAATTATTTCAGCTGAATTTGTTTCATCTCTAAATTTCAAGGGAAATATGAAAATAAATGACTATAAAACTTGTTGCTGTTTTTTAAAGAACTTTCATACATTTTTCTATTTGCTGTTTTATTTTGTCACTAATTTTTATAATCAAATATATATATATATATATAAACTTTTTATGTAGGAATTGCAGTATGGTATGGAGACAGCTTAGAATACAACTCATCACAGAAAGAAATCCAAAATTTCACATATCATATGTGGGAAGCAGTAGACCTGGTAGAGGCATACAAGTATGAGAGTAGAGCATGTGACGAACAACTCCCAGGTACCGTTCTATTTTGATACACTATGATATTTAAAAGAATTGCACCTAAATAGAACCATTGTATAAAACTTCATGTTACAATATTCTGAAGTGGTATTTTAATTAGAAGTGTGAAGAAAGATAAATACAACATATCAGTTTGTTTCCAATCCTTCTCTTGCCTGCTTCTTCAGAAGGGCAGAGCTTTGAAAACTGGCTTATAATGTTTTACAGTTAAAGTAAAGATTATTTTCATTATAGGATAATTGTTTAACATTCAAACATTTTCAAATTGGTAAGTTTTACTTCATTTTTTCAAATTCCTTATAGATCAAATTTAAGTTATTTCGACAAATTTAACATGATAGGTCCTCTTATGTGCATTTCTCATGTCAGTTATTTGGTACTTTTTTCAGGTATGGTAACAGGTATAGCAGCATCCATGTTTTTATGTGGCACTTTGGTTGGGATAGGATTAGGAGCTTTGTTGACAAAATTTGACAGAAAGAGGAAAAAGACGATAGCCCAGGAACAGGGAGACACAGACGTATTAACAGAGATGATGGAAACTGAACACAAAACAGACGCAACTATTCGTGTTTGATACAGCCATTGGGACTAGGCCAGAAAAGACGGATCACATAAAAAAAGGTTTATGTTCTTGCTTTTTTCAAAGACTCTTCAAGTTGAGTTGACTTTGTTAAAAGCTCTCCTTTTTTAAGACTCTGAAGTTGAGTTTCCAGACAAGTTGGGTTTACCCATCTTAGCAGGCTATCTGCTTGTGTTGAGCTTATTTATTTAAGCCGATGGGAACAACTTGGGACAGTGTTGTGAACAATTCATTGATGCTCTAAGGTCTTTTCATTGAATTTAGGTAGAGTAAGTGATATTTTAATGTCTGCTGACAGTTATGGCTGTTTTTTTTTTTTTTTAATTATTATTATTAATTTTTTTTTGTCATCACAGTGGTTTGAAAGACATTTAAAGACATGTTAACACAGATTTGGATAGCAGTTCCCAAGGGATGTCAATATTCTACAACATGGCTGTGTGCCTCTACTCCTGTGTGTTGTTGGCCTTCAAGCTGTCCGGACCACTGGTTACATGATAATCTGTTGGAATATAAATCAGATGCATTTTTCTGTTCTCATGACACAGACAGGGTATTTTTTATTGGTTGTGATTTTTTTCTACTTATCAAGCCATTCACTTTTGGGAAAGCAGTTTCCATAGCTGGATGATATTTGGTACACTGATACCTACTATGCTGTGTAATCTGAACTTTCATAAACTCTCATGACAAAAATTGTCTTTTTTAACATTTTGGTATGTGCTTTTTCTTATTCAAAATATTGTGTTCTTATATGATAATTGATGTCTTTACTAAAATAACATATATATAGGGATTGCACTATGAGGTTGCACTTTACAATAAATGTCTACAAAAAAAAAAAGATTCCCCCCCCATCCAACCCCTTGCTCTGCCTGTTTTTCAGGATATTTTTTACATCTGGTATAATTCGAGGGAATTGCATTAACAGGTTGCCAGACCTACATGCTTCAGGGCTTGAATAGATGTGTTATTGTCAACAAAATCATTGATATTTCATTCCTGTTTATTCCAGCTACCTGCAGTGAGGTATGTGTGGTAGAGCAGCTGTGAGTTGTAATTAAGTTAAGTGCTGTTATTGAATCATTCTGTGTACATGGAGTACATACCATCCTGAATAAAAAAATAACCTGGATTTGGTTATTGGTGATGCTATTTTGATAGAACTGTTACATGCCAGAAAGATGTATGTGCCCTGCATGTGGGATTTACTTTCAAACAAAAAATGAAAACTTTGTCTACAATATATCAATCATTTTAACTTCAATTATGTCACTCAGTGGATTTCTCAGAGGGATGAACTTTGTTAAAATTGCGTATAAAGAACTGAATTGTTTGATTGGTAAAAAGGTAACTTTTATGTTATTGATGCCCACTAGTTACAGTATTGAATATGTGAAAGTAATGGTGTAATTATAGTTTTTCTTTTTTATCATGCCTTGCTACTCCTTTAATTTAATGGTTAGTATTTAATAGTCAAACTTTATTGTACTTCAGCATTGAAAAATAATTTTGTTTTGCATTAATTTCTTGTTATAATATGATGCCTGTACATGCATGTTGTACATGTATGTGTATTTAGACTAGGCAAAATCTGTTATCAAGGTGCAAAATAAAGTGAGATAAAAATAGTCTGTTTAAACCAAGCTTTGCCTTAGGGAATATTTGAACTATTACATGCTTTTAAGTGGGTTCATTCAAAAACAGCTGGATTTTATTATCTTTACTTAGTTGTATTATTGTATTGTTTTTTAAAGCTCTTATGCTGCTCTGGTACATGTAGCAAAGCAGGCTGTCTCTGATTGAATGATATACTTATATGTTTTTTTTTTTTAACGAGACCTTCTTCATAGTCTGTCATAATGTTTTATTTCATACATTGTTAGTCCAATTTAAATGTAAGAATGTTGTCAGGGACAAAACTGAAAGTGATACAAACACACTGTATCTATTGATTTAATTACTGCTTTCACTGCAGATTGTTCTTTAACAAATTGTTGAAAATGGTGTAATAAAATGTAAAAAAATGTTTTGCATGTATCAAGACTTTAGTGTATCAAATTGTATAAAAATCCCAGCCTATTGGCAAGATGCCTTGGCAAGACGCCAACTAAAACTTAACCCAAGATTCAAATATACAACATACCATTTCCAAGCTGTGAATAAGATATTGATAAAAAACTGTGACTCCATTTATTTGATATATAAGAGCATACGTATAAAATATAACAAACCATATTACTTTCTTAATTACTACTATTACATGTTACAACTTTGTTAACATTAGAAATTTAATGCGTTGCAAAATAAAAAATAATAAGATTAGTGTTGTGATGTGAATAGTTCCAAGGTGCTGGGAAAATATTTACAGATGTCATTGCACTCAATTTTATCAAACAACCAAATCAAACTATGTCAAGAGCTTGTTTTGTTTGCAGGGTGTGAAGTCTTGCAAATTTAATCCACTGACATGATCCCTCGGGTGCAAAATTTACATTTGATCACCTCAAGGTCTTTCGTTTCATATCAATAGAATCAACGTGAATCAACGTCTTCCAGTAGTGTCCTTGAAAGACTCTTGCTTTCCCTGCTGCTGGTTTCTTCAGGGGCGGATCCAGAGATACTTTCTGACAGGCTTTCAAATTATCTTTTTTGATCCATCCTCCATTTTTGACTGTCTTCCAACAGAAAAAATTAGATACCCTTCAATGTAAACTTAAAAATCTGACCATCTTCCAGAAGACCCAGAAGAAGGCCTAAATCCGCCCCTGTTCTTCACTGATACAGACAACATGCTGTGCACTGCAAGAACAATGACATGCATGGTACATGTTGCGTAAAAAAATAATGCACTCATACCCAGACGTATCTGGATTGTGTCTGTCCATGTTTTGTCTTTCTCTGTGTGTCCCACTCGCTTTCAGCACCTTATACTGGCATGAGGTTTTATATACAAAGTATACATTCCTTTTGTTGTAATGTAATTTTTCCTGCGCCTGTTCTAAAGGTCACAATTAACTACTCGTGAATATGCCAAATTACCATCAAGATGCAAAAAAGCAACTGTCTGTTCAATATAGCTTGATTAATAATGGAAAAATATGTTTCTTTTCATGTTAGCTATTTAATAATACTTTTTCAAATATTTGTTTTACCATTTCTGTTTTATGGATTTGAATTTGAAAGTAGCTTGTTTAAACCTGAAAAATGATGTTATAGGTATCCTATATGGGATTTTCTTGCATACTCACAAAAGATTTGTACCTGTGACATAATAAGCCATGAGTCACATTGACAAGGATTCTTTTTGTATTTTGTACAAGATGGTTGTCTGAAAGCACAACATTTATAAATACTAGAATGTAAAGACGCAGTCCCTATGACTGCAAAAGATGGTATGTCAACAAGTTTTAAAACTAAGATGTCAGCTGTTTTTGTCAGTTGATTTCTGTGAATATTATCAAAGATTATTTATAAATGGAAATCTGACATATTACATTTATAGAAGGTATATGCAACACATCATAAAATATTGAACCAAAAATGTAAACAAAGAATTACTTGTGACAAATATTTTTTAAACAAAACAACAATAAAAATAGAAAATGACGTTTAAGTATGTTAGAAAAGGGGATTTGATAATTTGAAGAAGTTTTGTTTTTTAATAACCTGCCATTTATTTTTTGCACTTGACTGAAAACTGGGAATGAAAATTGGGGATTCTCTTGCATGGTGACCTTGTCATACAGATGCCAGTGTTTCCATTTGTATCACGGAGCGCGCAGCCATGATGGTGGAAGTTCAAAGTTTGTTATCATACTTTGTACGCTGTTTGGTTGCTCTTTGATGTAAGTATCAGTCAGGTGAGATTATCAGAGTGTACATGTTGTTCATCACATCTATAATTCATATTGTAAAATACTTATACTATTGGAAATATGTATTTTTTCAAAGTGTGTTCCCGCTTATCTGTGGACCCAACTCCCCAAATCTTTACACCAAACATGGCACGACACAAGTTAGTAAGTACACAACTGGTATGCAAACAAGACTTGCAGAGTGTAGTCTGGGACAGTTATGGAACTTATTTGTTTGCAAAGATGCGGATGTCGGTTTCTGACACTTTGTGAAATTTGAGAAATGGCGCGATGGAACGATCTCGATCTCCAGGAAATGACATTAACCGTAATAACTTGTTACGTTATCAGTTGTGGGTTGGTATTTTCTCATTTATTTAGATGCAGTGTTGACATCATTAGTTTGCTATCAGTCGATCTGTTAATGTTGTTTTGTCAACATTCATATTGTGAACTTTTATTATACAGGGCCATTCAGTATTACAGTAATGCTCTCCCCTTTGATACATCCACAGGTGTTCTCCCATATAAAACTTTTTTCCGCCTCTTTTTTTCTCCTATTTTTGTTCAAGATAATTTAGATGAGATTTGATTTCTTTTACTGTAACTTTTCTGCTTGGGAGATGAAGAAGTTAAATGTTTTATGATTAGAAATATCATTGAAAGACCTTTTTTAAAGACAAAAGACTTATGTCACTTTTTTGACTGAAAAGAAAAGGAAGTAGTCTCAGTGCATAAGGTTCTTTCATTTTGCACCTGACAACACCCTCTAGTCAATGGATAGCAGCTTTGTCTCGATTGGAGATTTTCACAAATATACCAAAAATGATGGAAATGAGTTGTGAACAAACCTACATTGTCAGGTGTCTAAAAGAGTCTGGCCAGATTAGAAAAGCAGAATATATACAAAGTGTTAATCTAGAGAAGATTGCTCTACTACTACTATTGCCCTCTATTTTTTTTTTTTTTACATCCTGCCATGCAGTTCTGAGAATTTTTTGCCTTGTCAGCCAATATATTGCACTTATTCTGGCAAAGTGAATTATATAATTAAACACATTTAAATCTGTGGAAGCAAATTTTTTATATCCATATTTCATCGTGCATTTGTTGTATATACAAGTTTATAAAATCGAAACTGTCTGGTTTGACTTGTTTACTGTAGATATATCTACATCTTGATTTTTGACCCAGGCACATACCACAAAAGTAAGTATTGATCGAGGGGTATTGTGTGGTACATATATTGATTGTCTAAGGATTAATTGAAATGCAATACCTTTAAGTTACAATGCAAAGAAACTCATGCAGACCAGTCTTAGGACTAATGCTTTTCATAAGTAATTATAATTTTTCTTTGGAATAACATGACAGACATTCTCTGTAAAGATTTTTTAAAGATTTTATGTACAAATAGCTGACTTTTCATCCAATCAGCAGGTCAGATACATAACATTGTGTACAGAAACATAATTAAAAGAAAATGTTTTTATTATTTTATGTGGAAAATAAAACATTTTTTAGGAGCATGATCCAGCAAAACGACCTCTCCATATTTTTTTGACAAAGAAAATCTCTTAAGCATGATTTGCTACTACCAATCATTAAATGACAATTGTAAACTTTTGGACAGCTGTTACAGTATGTGTACAGTCTACTAACAGAACCTGAAATTTTATCATGCCTTTATATAAACAACTACATATTAAAATGTACACAAATTGAAGTCTTTATAAGAGTTTGATATTTAATTGCTGAGCAGTTCCATGTAAAAGTTGTCTTTGTAGAATATATTTAAGTCAATTTGAACTTAAGGTTTCTCCATAACATCAGTTTTTGTTGGGAACAGCAAATGTTGCAGTTAAATATCTTTCTTTATTTTTCATCCAATTCCCACAAACTTTTACAACCAAATTGAATACTTTTTAAATATTCTGTACTAGTGAAGGCTTGATAGAGTTTAGGTAAGTACTAAGTATTTATTTTTATGTACATCTCAGTACAAGGGTGTCTGATCTCCCTGCACAGAGGTTAGGAAAGCTGTGACTGTTTTTTGTTAGAAACATAATCCTTTCTATTATTATTTTTACATATAAGAGGATGTAATCAGTGACGCACGGGAAGCGTTGTTTTCTCCTGTTATCTGGAGATTATTGTAATTACTAACTACATCATTCAGGTTTACCTCTGGTTTGGGCCAATTAGTGATTTTAAACACCTTTAAAAGAACAATAATCATCATCAGGTATTATTCTTCACGTAATGTTGATGTCATAATGAAATTATGAATTTCAGAGCTTGTGAAAAGAAAGTATCAGAAACCAAACAGACCTTTGGCCCCTAAGTTAAGTGATCAGAGGAGATGGGGAAATATTTAGAATAAAAGCGTCAAGTTTCATGCTTTTGGATTATGCCTTTTAAAGAATTTAAGCTACCATTGTGTAAACCCCCACCCCAACCCCTTAGAACCCCCTTTTTTGCAGAGTAGGACAATTTCTGGAGTATTGTGTTAATAACTGGTCTGACTGAGACAATGCAGAAACCAAAATTCACATATTGACCTGAAAATCTATGCTGTTTAATAAACCTACGGAAACACCTTAATGCTATTTCCTTACAATAAGAAGCTGTGTCTTCCTTTTGTTGCTTCTTGGAAAAAAAAACATGGGAGTGGTGTCAGGTTAGTTTGAAGATGTGCTTTGAAACTTTTAATAAACCCCATAGTTGAAAGCTGCCTGAATTCCAACATATTTTCATGTCTTATATAATATAACCTAAGAGTATTTTAGAGCACTTTTCACTATTACAGGAAGTTTTGCAGCCATCTAGTTGCAGATGTTGTTTTACATGCCAGCCAAGTTTAAGTATAACACAAGAGCTTGACTGCTTTTATTTTGGTTACAGTTTCTGTTTTAATGATATCAGCTCACTAAAACACTAGTACTAGGCATTCTGGATTTTTTTAGTGCCACTGGTTGAATTTAATGAATAGTGATTTGTCCTAGTTCTTCCTGATATGGTGGCTGTATCACACAACCTTTGAAACTCTCTAATGTCATTCAGGTGGTTTGATTCCTATATGATCCTGATAAGTTTGTCATCAGCTCATCAGGATTTTATTCATGGGCTGATAAGATATAAAAATATGTCAGATATTCTACTGACATTTATCAGAACAGCGTCACTTTGGAACAAACCAATTTTGTTTTACCTTTATTGTGCTCGAACGCTTAATTGATTGGTAAATTTCTACCCAGCATGCTTGTGCTCTATCGTTGAAGGTATATTGTTCGCATTAGAAAATGTCCCAGAGTTATGGCTACATATCTCGCAAAGTTACTTATTTTCCCAAATCAATCCTGAAAATGATAAAACCCTGCACATAAACAACTTGATGTGAATATTTGTATCTGAAAATTTTTAGGATGACATGAGGATCTTAGCGACTGGCCACTCATTGGAATTAAATTACTATATTATTATTTAATTAGAAATGGTAGAAATCATTAGGGATAGATAATGCTGGCTAGTCACTATCACTGAAATGGTACTTTTAGATTCTAAGTTACATTGCTGTATTGAGGATTTAATCCAATCCCTGCCTTAGTGCCTGGTTTATAAACTTGAGGTGGAGCAGATTTATGCATTTAGTTCTTGAAGAGTGGCAATCTGGTTCAGCATGTGAAAACAAACAGTCCTCACCCTGCAGACTGGTCTATTTCTGCATCATATTCACATTTACATATTGACTGACGCTGTGCTTCAAGCCACAGGTGAATAAGCCCTCAATTTTTACTCCACATGGGGTACTCCTAGTTCTGATATTTCACACATTTTTATAACTCTATACTTGTTAATTGCAGTTGTAGTACACTGTAACACAGATACTGTGACAGGTGCTTGTTTTTGTTGAAGGCGTGTTCTTCTTTTCCTTCCAGATACTGAAGACTGCAGAGTGAGGAGGAGAAACTGCAGAGACAGGTAAGGAATGGACTGGCAATGACACTTGAGGCTTACTTGAGGATAAGGTTTACTTTAGTCATATATCTCAGATTGATGAATTTTTAGTTCAGGCAGACTTATGAACTTGATGAACTCAAGCTCTTTTTTATGGTGAAGTACATTAAAATATCTTGTTTTTGGCATTGCCATATTAGACTATGGTAACTGCAAGATCTTTGCAGTGGAGTGCAATCTTCACTGAAGACTCAAAAGAGACAGGTGTCTTTTGTTTAATGTTTTTGAATTAGATCTTTACTCAGTAAGCATGTATGAAGAGGGGAAAAAGTTACCCAGGGAAAAGTGTTGCTCCTGGCTTAAATTTCAAATTTAACCTATCTCAGCAGGCACGTAGCCAGCAATTTCAAAGGGGGGGTTCTTTTTCTGAAAAAGTGGACCTTTTACCATATAATCCCCATGTACCTAGGTCAAATTTTACCCAGAGTGGACCTTTTTCCAGCAAAAAGGGAGGTTCTTTCGAACCCCCCGAACCCCCCCTGGCTACAGGCCTGCTCAGTATAGGAAATATTCTTTCAAACAAAGCAATGTGTATCAGTGGCTACTATAGACAATAGAAGTGTTTACAAAGAGGTGAAACAGGAGGTGAGAATTATCCATCAGGAAAAATTGGCCATATTGTGGGCACACATTGAACAACATGAACAATACCTTAAAATTTGAAATAAAAAAGACAATGCGATTAAAAAACCCAGTAGCATGAATATAATTACTAATTTTTTATAGAATTTTTTTACCCATGAAACCCTTTCAAAAGGTATTTTCCAAGGAATGCCATGTGTAAGATATTTATGCTTCTTATTTTTAGTGCAAGTACACATAGAGCTAGGTTGCACAGAGATTTGCTGGGTTCTGAGCTGAAACTCCTTCTGCCTCTGAATAGAGTGGGTCAATTTATCAGACAGAAAGTAAACAGCCAGAGTTTGTTAATGGCTGATAAGCTGTAATGATATTCTTGTTTGCCATGTGTCTCAACTTTGAGTTCTCCTATGTAAAGGTTCAGGCCCAACAATATTGAATCTTTTAACTTTAACTGAACTCATCCAAGATGTATATCAAATATGTATTGATTTAGAGTTCTTCCTCACCATCCCTCTGTTACACTGATAATTGTTTCCTTTGTGCTTCAGCTTTCCGGAATTTTCATTTCTGTGGTTTGCTAAAGTCATGAAATACTAAAATATTAATGAAAGGGATATTTGAGAGTTTGTTTTTATCATGTTTGCATGTTTTTCTACGTGTTTGCAAAGTGTTTGGAGCACATGTTCTGTAATTGATTGGCAAATTTTATTTTCGCCTGAGTACCTATATACCATACAAATACCTTTGACGCATGAAGCAGTTGGAGGTGTTCGAGTAAAATAACAGTATGTTCATTTCATAGCAACTACTCAATGAGTGTAGGAAAATGTTCATTTCAAACGATTGATTGAAAGTCTTCTGCCAGTTGAATGATTGAACTTTAGCAAGTGGAAAAATACATATTGCAAAAGTATCTTACATTTAATGTAAACAAGTTTAATCAATTTTACTCAGTTTAAAAAAAGAATATTTTCAGACAAGTTTTAAGTGTAAAATCCAAACCATCAAATTGTTTATCTGTTATCATCAGTGGGCTGAGAATAAGAGTACTTCATGTATGTATATATGTATGCATGGGACAGTCCTTCTGTTCACCCCATCCAGGGGACACTTGCATGCTGCGTCCTCATAACTCACTTCTCAGTGTCAGTACGCCGTGCAGGCTGTATAGTATGCCCTGTGCAGGTGAGGGGCTCAGTAAGTGAAGGATTGCATGTTTCTACAGCAGTTAACCTCTTTTTACAACAGATTTTCAGACAGGTGCTCCTTGCCGCAGCGGAAAATTCTTCTGATTATACTGATGTCTTGATAGATTTGGTTTGACCTGGTGAGGGATATTTTTGAAGATATTCCTTGTTTTTATTGTGTGACTGTTGACCCAAAGACCCCCTTTTTATAACACTTATTGAATTATGGAAATAATAAAATTCAATTAAATGAACTTAGTAGTCCATGTATATGTTAAATAGAATTTAATAGAAACAGGAAAGCAAAAGTATTGAGTAAAAACACTCTTTGTACATAATTATGTACATGATCAAATTTTCAGATGTCGTAACACCTCAACATGGTAGAACTTCTTTAAAACAGATTGTGAAAATGAAGGTCTGGTTGAATAATATAGCAGAAATTAGAAAGTAATTTATAAAATTTGGGCATGACAGTCAACATTAAAATGAATAAATTAATATATATATATATATATATATATACTTGTTTATTAAACAATAAGCAAAGAATACAGTCTTATATCTGAGAATACAAAGCTGGTAAAGTGATATATTAGTCAATCAGAGGGCTGGTTAATCAGATGACAAGCAGTGTAACAGTTTAAAGTGATGTTGTAACTTTTCAATGATGTTATCTTGGAGAAGTTTGATATTCAGGTTTTGGACTATTTGAAAAAAAATTTACTTTTGGTCATGCTGATTTGCAGACCTCAACCAAAGAGCTATCTACTTTGGCTGTGCCTAAGTCAACATCACTTCTCTAAGGACTGCAAAACACAATTGACCCCCGCCAAAGTCAGTAATTGTATGTTGTCTTAAATGGTTTAATGTTTTAGTTTTTATTTATTTATTAATCAATTTTTTTTGGGGGGGGGGGGGAGTGGAACAACAATACAATTGAACTCACTGATGAGATTAAAAGATTGCCACAAATAAAAAAGTTCCAACTGCATATTATATATTGTTTTTCATCTTCAACATAAATATTTGATAAAAACAGAGGCACTCGTACAACTTCCTTGAAGGACTTGAACCTGAAGTATTGTATTAATAAAAAGCATGCAGAACCTAGTACACAGCCAACCTGGACTTGGGGGAGGAATGCACTGGCTGGTAATCTTAGCACAGATGATACAAAAAATAGTCCATGTTGTCGAACTGCTCTCACAGAAAGAACGTCGTTTAGGTGAAGTGTTCATGGTTGCTCGATCTGGTATGCAAAATACCTTCTTCTCAGTTGGAGAATTTGTATTTCGATCCAGGAGAATCACCCAACGTGGAATTTGAATTTGAAAACAAGGCAGGAACTGTGGTGGTGAACTATTGACTGAAGCCATATTCCAGTCTTGTTGTTCAAGTATACCTGCCTAGTGAGCTAATCAACTGGCATTCTGAGGTGATAGACATTTCACACAAAGCTTATGATAATTGTGATTAATTTTCAGAGAACTCAGTCATTGGATAAAAAAAGGAGAAAGAAGAGGAGTGCAGAAACAAATCAAAAGTAAGCATAATTGATAAAAAGTACTACTTCGTAAACTTAAGCAGTAGGCATAGACATAATATATTATGAAATGAGAATGACATTTATCTTGAGCTTTGCTGTATGTTGTAGGGTCATCGCACGGCGGCAGAGAAGGCAGGAGTACAGACAGGAGTGGGCTGTAGATTCAGGTGGGTAGATAGGCTCTTACACGTGGAGGACCAGGTGACGGAAGGGGGGTGAGACATGTTTTTCTCAGCTTTGGAAAGAAAAGTAAGCAAATGATGTTCTGATGAAGAGCAGTCTAGGTATAAGAGAAGTGCTCTTTCTCTGTTCAACGGCATAGCATATGGATTGACGGCAGAATTTTAGTCAGCCTGACTATTATAAAATTTTTCTTGGATTTAATGTAATCTTTGTTATTTTTTCAGGCTTTAGGCATACTAACTTAAGAAAACTCTAAAGGAAATTTTATTTCTGCTGACTTTTGCATCTTTTATTATACAGTTAATGTGTGTTTGTCAGCTTCCAATATAAGCCGCAATTTGAAAGTTTGTATGCACTTGAACCATTATCGACAAAAACTTCCTGTAACTCAAACGAAAGTAGAAAGGCATTGTAACGGGATATTCTCCACATTTATAATTCTAACAAGCTAATGTACTTAGATCTTTTATTGACCTGTTCATTGAATTGTTTTTTTGCATTCCATCATATTTCATATGGGGTGGAGAGGCATTGGCCTAGCAGTGGCAAACTTTTTACGTTATTTCAATAATTGACTTATAGATTTGTGCTTTTGCAGCTTTGATATACAGGTGCTCGTATGTTGTAATGGATTGAATCTATTGGATGAGTTAATGGCTTCTTGTGGTTGATAAATTGATTTTTCTTTTAGTTTAAAAATGCAATCTGCTTTCATAATTTGATCTCAATTGTTGACTTCACGTTCTAGTTGCCAGACACCGCGTATATGATGATCACGATATGAGGAAGTGGATATATCAGATCATCAAAAATTAAACAAAAAAATGAAGGCACCAGCAACAATGCTTTTGAAAAATATAAGTTATTTGATAAGACTGAAATGGAAATCTTGTCATAATGCATAAATGAACATAGGACTGGCAATTTAATGATAAGATTCAAAATGCAGCATTGATTCATGGCTGGTAGGGAAACCTCATGAGAACTACAACATTTTAGCAGTAATCTGATTACAGGTACTAATTTCATGTTATAAATAATTATTATATGTAATTACAAATCTACTTTTCTGGCTAAAGCTTGATTCTGACCCTCATTTCCTGAGCTGAACTCCAGCAGAAATAAGCAATCGAAAGCTTCATAATTAAATTTGCATGCCCCGCCTAATCTAAATGGGTCGCAACGAGTGGGGCATTATCAATAGGACATTAAGCATTGTCAATAGGATAACAGATTAGAACAAATATTGAATTCAAATTTCTGTATAATTCATTGGTGTAAGGAGTTTCTTCCTCAGTTTTTGTCTGCTTAACAAGTAGCGCTGTCATGTCAGACTTAATGTTACGTATGAAGGCGTTCTGATCTTTATCTTTTCTGTCAAAGCGCCTGCCAGTTACTAGGCCAGCAGCAAGATGTGACCTGATACAAGGTATGGTTTGTAGCACCAGTATTGTGTATTGAGAAGATGGGCCTTGGGAACAGCCATTACCATCCATTTGTTAATTTAAATAGGACTTGTAAAAGGATCAATGAAGTGGTTTACTGTTAACTGTGAATACTGATACAGATATTGTTTACAGATAAGCCAATTTGTCTCATTTTCATTGCTCTGTGTGTACATTTATATACTGGCAACAGCCAAGAACCAGAACAGGTAAAAGTTATGTGTACCAGATACCTGACCAGCCTGCAAGGGGAAAGAAAATGCCAGGAAAATATTGCCACTCAATTTATTTCCTGCTGTGTATTTTTTGCTGTGTTATTACTAGTCTTAGTTTATGTATGGTGTTTCATTTAGGCTTGGTTCAGACTTGAAATACCACTCAGAACATGGCAGGCATTGCATATGTTTACAAACTGGTGGTAAGTCAGAAAAAAGTGTTGATAACCTGTATTATCCCATTAATGGCCTGGCACACATGTTAGCGGCAACATAAGTCTTGTAGTGGTAGAAATTAGCAACCTGAATGGATTATTTTAAGCCCCATTCAGAATAGGGGACTAACTAGTCCAAGGGTCAAATATGGCTGACCCACTTGAATACTTCCCCACATATATCTATTCAGTGTCTATAAGTGGATTAGATGGCAAGCTTTGTAGTGGGTCGCCATATTGGACCCTCAGACTAGTTTTTCCCCTATTCTGAATGGGGCCTTAGACCCAGACTGATGGATCAAATTGGAAATCTGAATGGGTAGTTTTTCTCAGTGCAGCCAGACAGAGCACTGTCTAGATGATGGCTGGTATCTTTCCTTGTGTAGATGTGACAAGGTTGCTGTGAGAAGCCTGTGAAGTGTGAGTGGTTTGTTATATTGGTTGCAGCCCTGAAGAGAACACGTTTCTAGGCATGGTCTGCATGCATGGAGACTGACCTGTGTTGAGCTTAGGAATACAGCTGCTGTTTCTGAAGGCAGTGAATATCCGAGTACATACGGCCTCCTATCTCAGTCATTAGTCCCATGTTATACATCGGAAAGCAAACAGTGCGCTTGAAAAAATTGGTATGATGCATTCCTTGCTTGATTAGTAAACTGTATTTAGTGGGTAAAAGGGTAGGTCAGGCGTTTTAATCCCATAACCCTCAGCTTTCAGCGACAGAAATTGCTTTCGGTTGAAGACAATCCTGATGTATTTCAGACATTTTAAAAGAGAGCATATGAATCTTCTGAAAGGAGTCCTAATGAGCCAAAATTCCATTATGGATTATCATGTGAAGGGAAATATATAATTTTTTTTCTCTCACTGAAGGGATTCTTCATGATTAGTCGAGGGAGGTAGAGACTAGGTCGTTGATGCTGTGGTCTACTGTGCAATCAAAGTAGACATCATCTCTGACCGAACCAGAGTCTGTGGTCCACAGACAGACAGCGGCATAAGATAATTAACCATTGCATGGAAGAAAGTTCAGCAACAGTCTAAAGGAAAACGATTTCATTGATTATTTCACCGTGCTTAAAGATAGCAGTCAAAACCAATAAAGTACAGAAAAGAAGTTCATCTTGGGACTTCAGACTGGCTTTATTGAATTCCATATCTGTTTTAAAATGATCTTTGAAACATGCACTAAAACAGTGCACCAGTCTGTCAATCGGGCTTTTTCAGGTCACCTAAGATAAAGCAACTGGATAAAGAGTTTTATTACTTTCTGTTTGTTAAAGGGCCACTTCATGGGATTTTCCCTCCAAAATGAATTTTCCTGGTGTAAAAAGCAATTTTCTTCTGTTCAGTCTGAATTATTGCTAGACCCTGTCCTGCACTTGGACTCTGTGTTTCACTCCATTTTAAATTTAATACTTTACTTGCATTGCCTCAATTTCACACAAGAAAATGGCGGGATGTTTTGTATTGCGGCTCTGTGCAGTGCAATAATGTAGTTTTGGAAGCTGGCAATGGCTACCCAAGAAGGCTGAGAAGGTGATAATGACTTAAGGTATGCTTCAGATAAGCCTCTATCTAAAGGGTTTTATTGCCTTTAAAAGTCTCAGTTTGGAAATGAAAGAAGTTTGTCAGGACATGATCATGACTGTGGGAGGTTTTCAAATATGTGGAGAGATGGCAGCGTTTGTCCCTAGCAGAGCCAATCTCTTCTAAAGCCCTTTGAAAATCGCATTCAAGGTCATTAGATCTCAATATAAATTGGTGTGATTATTCTTGATTCATTTTAACAGCTTGTCTGTAGAAATTTATTATCAAAATGCTGCAAAATCTTTTTGGCTGAATTTAACATCCATTTAATGAATTGATTAATCACTCTAAAATCATTTAATCAAATTGTGATGAGAAATGCTGTAATTTTGCGAACTCCATTAACACAACATTTTATGTCAGTTCAATTTCCTGTGCATGGCTCCCACTTATCTTCCATAAATAGATAACAAAACAACTTGATGGACAATCTGGCATTTTGATGATTGAAATGAATGCAAAAGAGATTGGATACACTTGTTATTTTGTGTTTTGTTGAAGGTTTACCATGAATTGTATTTGTTGTTGTGGTGGAGAGTTGTAACCACTTATAATAATAATGATATCTATTTGTAGTCTATTTGTAGTCTAAAATTTTTCTGAAATGTTAAGTGTACTTTACAAGGGTAAAATGAACATAATTGAATGAATAAAATCAATAAATAAACAGACAGTAATAATATCTAGGAAAATAGATAATTCAGGATTTTGGAAAAAGCCAGTTGAATCAGTTGTGAAACTTTCTGAAAATAAAATTTTCTAATTTTATTAAACTGTCCTCACGCTCTTTAGATTTTCAATACAATTAAAAGGGGGCATGTTTCACCCTGTGGCCTGTAGACTAGTAGGGGTAGTTAGTCATAGGTGTTCAGTCTGGCATTACACTACATCAGCAATAACTGATTGAGTGATCTTAAATGACATTTTGGAGCCGAATGATTGACTGAATTCAGTAGGTCAGAGGGGACTTATTAATAAAAATTCCATGTAAAAAATGAAAATTTTGGCGAGAGCATTTTTACAACCTGTTGAGTGATGTTCAGTGATGTTGAACAGTGTTCGGTAATGTTGAGTGGAGTTTGAAGGAAGTCAAAAATGTTCAGTGGGCCAACTCGACATTTCTATCGTTCTAGGTTTTGTCTGGAGATGTTTAGAGTGTTTTAACACCCCATCCAGTCAGCTCAAGCGCACTAGACCTCTCTTTTTCAGGCCTAGACTACCAGACTCGGCACCGAATGATCCTGAATTCACGGGTAGATCAGACCACACTACCCATTTTCAAGGTGTGAGTCAGTACGCATTACACAGTATCATACCCTGAACAAATTTTGAGTGGTGATGCAACGCTTTTCAACCCCGCTGAGAATAGTCACTATCACATCACATACTAGGCCAGAGCGGTGTCGCGTCTGATACTGTGAAATGCGTACTGATACACACCTTGAAAATGGGTAGTGTGGTCCGATTTACCGGTAAATTCAGGATCATTCGGTGCCGAGTCTGGTAGTTGGGTAGGCCTGTTTTTGCGGCAAAAGAAAAAAAAAAGAACATGGAGAGGTCAGTCCAAGAAGTTTCAGGTTATGACTCTTGTCCTCATTGTCCTCATCAACTATAAGATCTAACACCCTCCACAACTTTTTGTTTTTCTGAAACTAATGCCATTTTGAGAACAAATTCGGAAAAGTGGCACCAAAACTATTGCACTTTGGACTTTCAATTTCTAAAAGCTCAAACAAACAATTCCTCATATCTACATATCTACAAACAAGCAATTCTGGGTATCTAAAATAGTTGCAGTCAAATGAATCTACGTAAACAGCGAAAGACAAGAATGAAAACTGGCCAGATTGATGGCAGTTTGGGTTACAGTGCAAGCAGTCCGTGTTTTTACACGAGGAACATGAAATTGCGGTTTAAATCAATTCAGCAATCACAATCACAAATCTACGTCTTCAAGTCACAAACCACAATTATCATTTATGAGGCCTTTTATTTGTGGAACTTACACAATGCGGATTCACATTTCATGCTCAAAAAAATACCTGTACAGTACCTCGTTAGCAAAGATCCCACATCTTGTGTGCAATGAGTAACATTTCCAATTGGATATGTTCTCACAATATTGTGGCCTTCACGATAAGCTTGAGGTCTAAAAAAGAAAGATTATCATTGAAATGAAAGAACATGCATATTCCTTTTCCAAGAAATTTCCGAATGGGTAGATTTTGTTTGTTAAGAAGGAAAAAAAGGCAGTGGAAAAGAAATCCAATCTGTCGTTGAAAGAGCGAAATGAAGAAGCCATCAAAAAGTCTCTGATATTAACTTGAAAGGAAAGACATCTTTTTGAAGAGAACGTATAGGGTTACGCGTGTGTACTGAAGCAGGTTGCCTTAGAGTAAGGATTCCAAACTGCATTAGGCTACTATAATACCTGTTTTATAATCATTTCAGTTTATATTTTAGGAAGTGGACAGTTGTGTCAAATCCATACTGTTCTCAAATCATTTCAGTTTTTATTTCAGGAAGTGGACCACTGTTTCGAATCCTTACTGTTCTCATACCCACAATCCATTGTACTTTCTGTTTTATTTACAGATAAAAGAAAAGGCATCTATTTTGTCTGCTTTTGAAATTAAAACTTTTTATTTATTTATCTAATTATTCATTCATTTTCAAACCATTCTAAACTTTACTTTGAAATGAAATGGAGTGTTTTGTAATTTTCCTTAATTATCTAAAAATGTCTAAGTTACCTATGGCAAGACTGACAGATGGGTAAGCTTGAAGCCTGGCTGCACACATAGGCAATTAGCTGTACTGCTGGGGCCAAGTTGTTTTGTTTTTTTTTTTTTTTTTTTTTTTGTGTGTGTGTGTGTGTGTGTTAAGAAGGAAAAAAGAACTCATTATCTTGTTATGAATATTTAACCCCTTTTTCCAGGAATTAATTTTTCTCTTGAACAGGAAGTTCAAGGGGTATATCTCTTTATGTAACTATTACACAATAAAATAATGATATGAAATGGAAAGCAGTTAAAACATGCAACATTTTGGTATATCTTGTTCAGTTAAGAAGATAACCATGTTGCTGCCCCCCA